CCTGCCACTGAGCTACTCAAATGGACTGCTCCTTTCTCAAGACCTCTGCACACTTTCAAGCCTAACTTCTCTTCAGTCTTTATTAAATGTCATATCCTCCAGATGGCCTCCTTTGGTGGCCCAGGTCATCTTAGATCTGCCTGTTAAATAAATGCTTTCAAAGAACTTTGGATTTTAATTTTTTTTCTCATTCAATTGTAAGTATACAGTTAAGGTACAATTGCTCTTTAAAATTTCTTTCTCCCTCCCCACCCCAACTGGACTGTGAATTCCACAAGAGCAGGATCATATTTGCCTTGCTCATCACTGGATTTCTAGCACCTCGCACAGAACCTGAGTATTGCAGAACCCATGCCTGCTATGCACGTATACGTTGATATAAGCCTATTATATAAATAAACAGATCAATATCTATTTGGCTATTTACACCCCACCTATGCGTCTTTGGTCAAGATTTAAAAGCTCCTGGAAAAACAAAAATACAATTTCCTTAGGAATAAAAGCCTACCGCAGCCTTGTGTAAAATTAAGCACGTAATAACCTTGATGATGTTGCTGAATTGTTCAAGGAGAAGATGAGGATAATAACACCTCTAAGTGTGTTGTGAAATTACTACTCACAAGTTAGCAATACTAATCACTTACTCTTGTATTGTGCATTCCACTCGGAAAACGCTTTCATGTATACTGCGTTATTTGAAGTGTGCACCGTAGGTGCTATTATCACACCTTTACAGACTGAAAACCAGTGGCAGGAGTCAAATGAGGTCTAGGGTGTGTTCTTTCCGTTCTAATATGTAAAGTCCCTTCATCTCTCTGGGCCTCAGTTTCCTAATCCACAGATGAGGAAATGTGCACAAAATATTTTTAAACTATTTCTAGCTCTACAATTCTGTGTTTATGCTTCTAATGATCACACAAAACTATAAAATTAAGGGCAAAGACAAATAATTACAGTTCACAACTTAGCACTCATGATTTCCCTACTGTTTTTAGAACTATGCAAAACACCATCTGATGGATTCAACTATTCACATCAGGAACTCTTGAAGTCACCAGGCTCCCAGAATGTCTGATCTTAGGTGGACACAAAATTCTGGAAAAAGGCGTCAAGTCAATAGTGGTAAAGAACACAGTATACCTTGATCTGGCCCTGTGCAACCAAATGAATGCTTGTTCAGAGTGCACGTACCACATCTTATTATCTATTCATCTGTTGATGGACACTGGGGTTGCTTCTACCTTTGGGCTATTGTACGTAATGCTGCTATGAACATGGGTGTACAAATACCTATTAGAATTCCCACTTTCAATTCTTTTGAGCAAATACCCAGAAGCAGAAGTGCTAGATCATATGGTAATTCTGTTTAATTTTCTGAAGAACTTCCCACCATACCATTATCCACGCCAGTTTACATCCTCATCAGCAGTGCACAAAGGCCCCAACTGATTTAAGTAATGTGTTAAATGGCCTTTGATGAGTCACAATTTCTCAGTGCTTCATGGTTTCCTCCCCTATAAAATGAGGGGGTGGGAATGGACAATCTCTAAGTTTTCTTCTGGTAGTAAAATAACTATATTGGCCTAATTAAATCAAGTTGCAATTAGAGCCAGAAAGCAGCCTGAGTGGTTGGCATAGCACGCCTTGCTATCTCAAACCCTCCTCCTAATATGACAAATACTTTTGCAGAGATAAGGACAGAGTGTAAAAAACTCATTTCATGCATGCAGCTCTCAGCAGTAACAGTGCAGGACACTTCCTGGTAGGTACCCTGTGCCAAGCACTGCTTCAGGCACCCACACATGTTATCCCATGCCAACCACGCAGTAGCCCTGTGGGCTGGATACCCCACCTGCTGAGGCATGGAAGAATTATGCCATTTGCCCAAGGAAATGGAGAGGAAACTAAGGCATGCAAGACTTATGCCATTTGCCCAACGTCACACAGCCTATTAGTCAAAGAGCCAAGATCTGCCCCCAGGCAGCTCTGCTCTGGAGGCAGGTTCTTAACCAACCCAATTCTGATGCCTTTCCCTCCTCAGTGTGTCTCCTCAAGTCTAGTCTTGAGTGCTCTGAATATTTCTTTCTTCTCTTTGATCACATTTCTATTTAAATGTCTCAGTTCCCTGCAAAGACTAGCTGAACGTTCTCATCTATACCATTTAAGCTTCTTGTTTTTAGGCATGGAGAGTAAAATGCACCAAAAAAAAAAAAAAAAAAAAGAAAGAAAGAAAGAAAAAGAAAAAGAAAAAGAAAAAAAAATCCCAGAAATCCTCTTAGTGATTTTTTTTTTTTTTTTTTTTTAGTAATTTTATCTGACAATATTTAAGTGTTTTTAAGAAAATTACATTGAAGGTACATGCCTTGAAGGAGGAAAACACGGAATGCTTATTGTGTGCCCGGGAAGTTTACCTATATTGTTTCATATAATCCGGACAATCACCCTTTGGTATGGATTTTATTACCTCTATTTTACAAGCAAGGACGCTGAGATTCAGAGAGGCACAGAGGCTCGCCAAGGTCACTCAGCCGGAAGGTAACAGGAGTGGGAGGCAGGGCTTGCGCTGTGAGCCCAGAGCCCCTGCTCCTTCCTATGTGGAAGACGCCCAGAGAGAGTGTCAAGTGTCACTTAGGAAAATGAGTGCTAGACACATGATATGTAACAGTCGCAGCTGCTGCCTCCATCAGTGGAGCAGCTGGCATGAGAAAGGAGCTGAAATAAAGAGAAGTGAAGGGACTTGTAGCTTCCCAAAAGTGAACCTGCAAGGAGAGAGAACAACTCAGTCTCCATTGTATGCGATTCTTCTTAGGCACCAGAGGCTGTTTCCTCTTGGAGGAAAGACCATGAGGCTATTACTGGATAATATATTTGCTCGTTACCAAAAATATCCATATTTACATAAAAGATACAGCTTGAAGTAACGGAGCTCACCTGGTTAAAAAGAAACAGTCTTAGAAATTCCATATGAATCTTAACGTTGCTTAGTACTTGTCCTAGGTTCTAGGCTAAGGGAATGATACCTAATTTCAGATTTAGTTGGAAAGAACTCTCTCAAGAGGACTCTGAAACACGAGAATAAGGTTGAGGACTTCTAAAAATGTAAAGACAAAAAATTAGGAATATCCAACCCAAATGGTGATGTGGCCTCTTAAGATTTCTACTAGACCTAGATTCAAAAGGCATATGGTATCTATCAGAGAAACACTGATCTGGATTGCTAATCCAGTGTTTATACCACATTAGTTGAGTTCTAAAAACAAAAATTTCTTGAGGCATGGACTGACTTTTATTTCCTACCCTTCATGGTACCAAGCCTAGTGACCAATGCTGACAACAGGCATTTCTTTATGGCTTGAACCAGTATTTTCATGTGAATTATGAACTCTGGGATCCTTCGTCTAAATATTAAAAACTACTAAATCAGCTACAGTAATTGGACTAAATATGTGGGGTATGGAAAACCGTTAGTATGATGAAGGTGGCTGTTGCCGGCCACAGAAGGCTGGCATGCTTTTTCGCAAAAAGCCCGGTTCTGGGCCATGGAAGTAGGAAAATGATCACGCAAAGTCCGCCTCCCTCTGCAGCATGATGAGGCTGTGTTATCGTGGTTTACGTTATCAAAATTGGCTGCAGCCAACCCAGGTGAGTACATTTCCCTTCAGGAAGTTAAGAAACTTCATGGCACAAATCCACGAAGACAAGCCTTTCTCTATGACCTTTTTTTTTTTTTCATAAAATTACAAAAGCCATGTTTATGGTTTCCTCTAAAATTTCCACTAATATAAAAATGAACTGTTCTTACAAAAACATGTTAGATAGGAGACATTTGGTAGAATCCCAAAGTACTGTGAGATTTTTATTTCTGTGAGATTAATGCTTTCTCAATTTCAGGAGGGTACTGGCACCTCAGCTTGAGAATCGAGCCATGTGTTATGATTCACTTCGGTAATATTTGCCTCAGAAGGATTTCTGTGATTATTCCTCTTTTAGTGATGTAGAGAATTCTCAGGGACAATCAAGCCTTCAGCCCCAGTACACAGTGACCCACATAAAAAATGTCCTTGAAATGGCACTGATTATAGGGCTAGAAGTTTCTAAAGAGAAACAAGTCTTTCAACAAGATAGCAAATATTTCTCACATTTTGCTTTTGCCTCAAATTACTGAAAGGATATAACTTAAGGATAGTAATTCTTATGCCATAGATACTATCCAACAGAATATAGATTGTTCTGATTTATCCCTTCTCGAACAACTGATCTTTTATTTGCCTTTATATCCCCTCTGCATATAGTAGGTGAAAAAACATGATTTTAGAACTCAACTAATGTGGTTACAGAATTGACCCAAATTACATGTACTTTATTTTCAACATAAAGGCATCCAATACATGTTTTTCCTCAATTCAAAGGCATCCAGCACAGTGCCTTAAATGCACACACAGAAAAGACTTTCTCAACATGATCCATTACAACACTGCACCTGCAGCCTGGGCGTGGCACCTGGCTTGCATAAGAATAACTTGGAGGCAAAAGAGATCTGCAGAGGTTTGGAAAATCTTCCTTCTCCTCTCCCAGCCCTAGGAGAAAGGCCCTTCATCCTGCTCCTTGAAGATGCCAACAGAAACACAACTGATATAATAACAGGCTGGGAATGGCATTCGCTTGACCCAAAACTCTGGCGTGGCCTGACTGTATGAAGGGGAAACATCACCTCCCCTCAACTAAAGTTTGAAGTGCTAGAAATACTTGCTATTTGGCAAACAAAGTTATCAAGGACTATCAAAATTGGCCCCAAAATAACTATTGCATAAGAGAGGGTGTATTGCATAAGAGAGGGTAACAGCCTGAGAGAACTCTGGTTCTTTGCTTCTTTAGATTAGAACACAAATTTTAGTTAGAGCTAGTGGTTTACTGGTGGGAGGCACTGAAAAGACACCAGAAGCACATAAAACAAGCTGGTCTGCAATAGATCAGAAGCTAGCTGAGTAAGCCAAACTTACAGATTTGAGGATCCCTGTGGCATCTTCATGGAGCCAGGTAGGGTAGACCACCTCGTCATTCAGTATGGCCTCAAAGAGGTCATCTTCGTTCTCTGCCTCAAAGGGCGCGTGACCGCAGAGCATCTCATAGAGCAACACGCCCATTGCCCACCAGTCTACTGCAGGCCCGTACAGCATTTCCTGGAGGATCTGTGCAAAGGGGGCAGCGGGAGAAGGTGGTTCATACATCAGATTAACAAATGTGTTCTTCATAACTAGGGAAATTGATGCACTAGGAAATATCAAAGTTTTTTTTTTTTTTTTTAAAGTCTCCTGTGCTAGCATGCATATTTCATTCCACTTCTACAGAGTGGTCTGTTTTCCCTGTGGTCAACTCAGAGATGCCTTCTCCGGTATGGTGAGCAAATATTTATGATTGGGCCACAGTGATAGGCTCATGCAGATCCCAAACAGAAAGGGTTCTGGAAATGTATCAGTGAGGAAAAAAAAGGAGACTGGGTTCACTCACTCATACGGGAAGGATTCAAGAGCCTTTCTTTAGTTCTGCTAAATGATGCTGAAATTAAATCACTAAGTAGAGACAAAGAGGAAAATAAATAGCCATGAGTGGCGTTCACTTTGTCTTCATTTAGTGCTAAAGCCCAAAGCAACTGCAAAATCTACAAATTTTTTTTTTTAAACTCAAATTCTTATTAGAGTGACTTAGGCCATTTTCAGCCATCATTCGCCCAATGAGCCATAAACGAGTCTAGAGGTGTCGGCTTTCAACACTGCTCCCAACGCTGCAGCACATAAAAGCAGCCAGTGGCATTTCTGGTCAGAGTTACTGCAGAGTTCAGATTTCAGAGCTGCATCAAGCAGCTGCACTCACCTCTGGAGCGATATAGTCTGGCGTGCCACAGAATGTGGCCGTGGTGACGCCATTGCAAATCCCCTCCTTGCACATTCCGAAGTCTGCCAGTTTACAGTGACCCTCGTGGTCCAACAGGACGTTGTCCAGTTTCAGATCTCTGACAGATACAAAGAGCAGCATGAGATAGGGCAGCCAGACCCCAAACCATCCACCTCTCAGAATGGGCACTCACACACACACACACACACACACACACAAGTACGGCCACATGCGGCCATGTGAGCTTCTCTGTGCTATCTGGATGACAAATTTAGATCAAGTCTCAGAACTTGCCTCATGGCTCCAAGATGATGGGCCCATTAAGAATGGGCTAACCACAGGAAAATGTGGGCTGTCCTTTAAAAACGGAGGGCAGAATGTGGCTTTTCTAGGCTTTCCACTTACCTTGTACTCAGCCTATCCCCGACCCTCCACTCTAGCACCCATCTCTACCCATCAGAGTCAGAGTGAACACCCATAGGGGAGGTGGCCACTGTGTGCCAGGGGTGGTGACAGGCACTAGGAGCACAGCTGATCTTCATCTGCAAGGAACTCACAGTGTAATGGGAGACAAATATTTCCTAGGCTAGAAGCTCCATGATGGCCGGGATTGTGTTTATGTGGTTCGCCATTATGCCTGGCATAATGTACTTAAGAAATACTTGTCAGCCGGGTGCCTGTAATCCCAACACTTTGGGAGGCTGAGGCAGGTAGACTGCTTGAGTTCAGGAGTTTGAGATGAGCCTGGGCAACATGGTGAAATCCCATCTCTACAAAAAATACAAAAATTAGTTGGGCATGGTGGCATGCACCTGTAGTCCCACCTACTTGGGAGGCTGAGGTGGGAGGATCACTTGAGCCCAGGAGGTTGAGGCTGCAGTGAGCTGAGAGTGCACCACTGCACTCCAGCCTGGGCGACAGGGTGAGACCCTGTCTCCAAAATGAAAAGAGAGAAAAAGAAAGAAATGTGTGTGTATGTGTGTGTGTGTGTGTGTGTGTAAAACAAATAGATATATATCTTATATACAGACACACACACACACATATGGACAGGATAGACAGGGGAGGGGCAGGGGAGGGGCAACACACCAATTGCTGTATCATCCTAGTGGCATGATGAAGGTATGAACCAAGTGCTACGAGAGAAACATAGGAGAGAACAATTCCTTCCAGTGGGAGGAGGGAGAGACAGCCTCACAGCAGAAGTAGAAGTTGAGCTGGGTCTGAAAGCATGAGTCAGAGTCTCCCAGGCAGAGAAGGGGGAGTGAGAAGGCCGCCATGGAGAGGCGGATGGGGCGGGGACACGGCAACAAGCCCAGTGGTGTGGCTGAGCAGGTGGACTCAGAGAACCCTGGGTATGGTGAGGAGGCTGAGGGGCGGGCAGCACAGGACACAGGAGTGCTGGGGCCATGAAAAATCTCAGGGCTACAAGGAAAGTTAAGTCCTTCAAACCATGAAGGGTCCTGAATGTCACACTAAGGAATTTTGATTTTCAGATATTAGGCAAAAAGAACTTCCTGATGCTCCCTACTTAAGGGAGTAACTGATTCCTGGCTGGACAAGAAAAGATCAGTTAGGGGAGGCTGAAACCGTCCAGGAAAGAGATGTTAAGACCTGAACCAGAACAGTGATGAATGGAATGGAAAATAAGGAGTCAGTTAGGAGAAAGGAAGCAGGGCTTTGGTGAAAGCAAAATCAGTAATAAGGCTTGATAATCACTTAGAGATGGGCAGAGAGAAGCAGCAGAAATGACTCCTGGGTTTCTGTCTTAAATCCAGTAGGTTTGTGGGGATGTTAACCAGGAAAAGGAAAACCAGAGTGAGAAGAGGGTTTGTTTGTGGGTACCCCAGGTGCACAAGAAGCCTAATAGATTATGGAGACTCTGGTTCAAGGCATTTTCCACTCTTCCTCCAATCCCTAAGAGCAAATTCACGTGGAAGGAAGTGAATACTCAGCAGCAGGATTGTTTAGTAAAGAGTCCTCAAGGTCGGCAGGAACATGGCCGTGTACTGATAAAGCTGTCTATAAATAAAAGGCAGTGCTCTCTTAAAACAACCCGCTTCCCAGCACAGGCACAGGGTTCTCCTGTTGCCAACCATTCCCCAGGGCACTGTTACAGAGGGAAGGTGGCACTGCTAGCCTCCCAGGCACAGTCTAGACTGGACAGAGCAGCAGCTTGGCCTTTTGGGTAAGACATTTACACTTTGGTTTTTAAAGGAACAATATGCTCAGAGGCAACCCACATAGGCTGATCAGTGACGAGGAGGCTGCAGGTCACTAGGGTGGCCTGGAGCTTTGTGGTTAACTGCCATTGTGGGAGGCTGCCATGGCCTTGGGCCGCCTGGAGCCCCCCTCGCTGTGGCATCTTCACAGTGGCTGCAGCTGACTGCTCTTTCTGGAGTGTCACATTCACTGTGGATTGTACCAGGGCACTTGAGGTTCTATTTTCCTGCCTCAGTGTGAGAATCAAGGTCTGTTGGCCTGCATGGCCCAAGGCAAAAGGTTGGTGTCTGTCCAGCCTGGATCACGTTGCTGGCTTGGAGGAGGTAGGTGATGACAGAACTGGCATGACTGGTTTCCACACAGTGTCCTGTGAGTTGATACAGCCTGGCCATGCAGGTCTTACAGAAAATGGCCACTAGAATATGCCCAGGAATGGAAAGCAAGTCTGGTATTCCAGGAATCCCCAGTAAGTGTGGTTAAAGCAGCACAGCTTTCATGGCACAGATCAATGGAACGTAGAACAGACTTCTCTGCTCTTAGCAGCAGCCTCCCCAGGTGTCAGGGGCATAAGGCAAAGGCATGCTGAGTACCTGTGCACCCACTTCAGCGAAGCAAGCTTTCTGTGTCTCTAACCCAAACCCAGTCCTGGCTCCAAATCAGCCCTTCTCCATGCAGAATCCCATGTCCCATATAAGTGAGTGTTTTCAGTGGGCTGATTTGTGGAAGCCGCTTCCTCCCCTTGCCCCACCACACACACACAATATGAGCACAGCCAATTTAACCTACAAGAGGTTGCGATCACAGCAGCGCAGGTCGGGAGCAGGGGTGAGGATGACTGGGGTCCTGTCCAGTGAAGGAGGCCAACACTCTCAGTTCTTCCACAAGTGTTTTCTGACTTGGGAGGCACTATAAGGCCTGGGTGCCTGGCTCTTCTGGGGCTGAGGGCACACAGTAGAGAGGCACCTGGCTGAGGTTGGACACGCTAGTCTGCAGCCCCAGGAGAGAACACAGCCGGGGGGACAAAGCCCACGAGCCCAGGTTTATCGACACTGTGTCCTAGCCTGACAAGCCAGGCCTGTGTGGACCTGAGCCCAGAACACTGTCACTCACATTTCCAAACAAGGTCACTGAGTTTCAGAATTTTCCCGAAGCCAGTATGCCTGCTGAGGTCTTGGAAAGGATCTTCTTGGGCAACAGAAACAAGTGCTAACAGAAATCCACAACGGTCTCAAGAGTTGACCCGCAGTTGCTTAAGAGCTTGTGACTAATGTCCCAGGTAAGAGGTCTGACTGCTTATTACTCAGCTGCTGTCATGGGCAGCAGGAATCGCGCAGGGAGGGAAAGTGCTGGGCCATCACTTTTGTCCGTCAACTATTACAATCAGCTCTGCATGGGGAAGTCTTGGGACGCAGCTCTCAGAAGACACAAGTGGGCAAGACAAGAATGTGACTCATCCTGGTCACAGGATGCCCGAGGCCACAAAGGCAGGTTAGACACCTTAATCCTGATTTCAATCTAATTTTAGGCATTCTCAGAACTGTATGAGCCGTAAAGGAAACGCCATGGCTGTTCTCACACCAGGTGCTATCTAGTAAGACAGATCACTCAAACTGGGATCCCAAGAGGGTTCAATAAAGAGCATAATGTAATTCCCGGTTACCAGTTCTGCCTTCAGCAAAAGTATCTCATACCTGCTCTGTGAAGTCTGTCCTGATGTCCCCAGAGAGTTATAGTAATATCAACTCTGCTTCTAGGGTGCCCAGTTTATACTTCTATGATAGCACACCCTGCACTGTATTCCAGAAGGCTCTGTCTGTGCACCTGTCTTCCTTCTTAGCAGCTCCAGCATGGTCCTGGCAGGAGGTGCTGACCAAAGGGATACACAGAAGCATTTCAGATGGACCCCAATATGACTGCCCTGGCCAACTTGGAGCCTATCTTATTTTTAGGGGATGGAAGGACACTCCATAAACTTTGCTCCAAAGTACTTAAACTTATAAAAAGCCACATGTTTTACCCCTTAGAGACAGACTCGAGAGGGAAAAGAAGAAACCTGAAATCAAAATTCAAATTCTTCTCTTTGGTGAAGCTGGAGAAAGAAAGAGATTTTGAAGGGTCAATTATTAAACAACGAGGATCCAGCAGAACACTTATCCTTGTGCTGGCTGGCATCCAAACGGAAGAGCAGAACACGGAGGGGGTGACTCAAACAAAGCCAAAGATTACAGAGCCATTTACAGTCATGGTCAGCTTCCACTCTAAAGGGAAATCATGCCTTTATTTTTTTTGTTAAAGCAAAAGAAGTCACCCTAAGCCTCCTGACTTTAGTTTGAAATATGCAGAGGTCAGTTTTTGGCTTAGGAGTGCCTCAGCTTCCTATGCCAACATGTAACTCAGCAGCCGAACTTAACAAGGCTACACAATGAAGATTACAAGTTCATACAGGGCAGAGGCTCAAATCCTAAAATGCCAAAACCACAATTACCGGCTCGCCATTCATTAGCTCATTGAGCACCGGTATTTAATAGCTACAGCTTTTGTCATGCAAGCATAGAAGGGTAGAAAGAGTTATTCTATCCTCTGTGCTTGTCTGAAAGCTACATTGTTCTTGCTGGGTAATCAGGGTTACTTAAAATGCCCACAGTAGTTTCAGAGAGAATTCCCAAGTGATTGAAGACAAAGGAGATTCAGAAATTGGATTTATTTTGTTTCCACCATAAGCTATCCCGAGAGTAATAAAACAGATTGACATGAGTCTTACTGCTTAGATCACTAGAATCAGTTACTCTTCCAAAAGAAATAAAGGAAAGCGAGCTGAGAGCTGGCTCCTTGAACAAGAATGAATCTAGGAGGCTATTTATATGAACTATTTTTAACATATTTTTCAACTTTTAT